TTTTATGATTTATTATTAATTATAAACTTTATGTTATATAAAAATGCTTTTATATTTTTAAAAATTTATTTGAAATAGATAAAAAACAAAGTTAATTTTTTCTATTTTGAGTAAAGAAATTCATGATTAATAGAAAATTATTTATTAAATACCCTTTATGGTAATTTTAACCTAAATTAGAGTTTATATAAATTATTTTACCAAACAGCTTATCTATAAAAAAGAGCTTATAAAAATGAAATTTACCAAACAACTTTAACTTAATTTTAAAAGCTATTATTTTTTATAAGAGTTTTATAATAGCTTTTAAGCTAAAAAAAAAAAAAAAACCTATGCCAAACATGCTCTAAATACAATTCTCCATGGGAATGAACTTTCCTTTCATTATATTACTTGTTTAAGATGCTTACACTTGTAGTTTATTTGAGAAATATAAAACCAACGAGATAAATGAAACTCTTTGATAAAATGCTAAGCCCCATCATATACTATAGAACACTAATTATTTTTACTTTTCATATATAAGCATGCATCAATGCTGATCTCATAGACCACTTACATTCAAAATTATATCTATGATTTTTTGTTATTTCAAATACAATTTACTTCACATCATTCTCAACTACGAAAATATATGTTGATTAAGACATTCCAGAAACAGCAACACTTAAGCAGAAGTAATATGTATGTTTAAAATAATTTCAATTTTGTTTTAAAAAAACAAAAGTTACAAATAATTTTTTTAAAAATAATTGTTAGCATTATCAAACTAAGTTACTAAGTTCTTTAAACAGATTAATTCATCACTTAGATATCTAAGTTAGGAGTAGGATTTAAGTCACTTAAATTAATATATTAGATTAGGAGAGGAAGGATTTAAAAAGAACTTAAGGCTTATACTTTATAATATAAAATTAATATTACAAATTATATGATTAATTAATTATGCAATCAAAGCTTAGGGCCTTAAAAGTTAATATTTAAGATATTTATGTTGATTAATTAGTCAATTAATTTAATTCATTGCTTACATGTTAGGACTTATGACTTATCTCTCTAAAATACCTTCTTTTCCTTTTCATTGTACTTTCAAAATTCCATAATTGGTTTATAGTTATTTATTTTAACATCGATAGTGTTCTACACATAGCTCTTCACTATTCATATATTATAACATTTTCTCTTTATTGTAATACCTTGATGTAACACCCATAACATAGATATTGACAAAAATGCAAGAAAATTAAATAAAGTATGGATTAAAACCCTCATTCTCCTAGCATATTTTAAGTTCCAAAGGTCTTTGATTTGTAGTTTTTCATGCATATCGTTTATACAGAGTTGAATGTCAGTTAGCCATCATTTCACCAGAGAATACGCTTATTTTCCTACCTTTATTTCATCATAGCAACAATCTACTATATTATTTAAATTCACATTTTAAGCATCAACCTTGTTGCACTACTTTTCTATATTTTTAAGATGCTGCATACAATTGGTGCTTGAAGACAATTTCAGACAAATAGAAGTCGTGGCCTTTGGATGAATTACAGCAAAAATCGATAGAAACAATCAAAAGAAAACTTGCAGTGGTGCAAATTATCCATTGAATGACACTGTCTAACTCTATATAGATCTATTATTTGAAATGCATTTTTGATAGACTACTCAAATTATGCACATAATTTGTAAAGGCTGTCTTTTTAACCTTATTGAGCAATATTTGGTATTTTAATTTGTTAACATTTCGCAATTTCTGATTTACAGGTCACTCTCCAAAAGACTATTATGAGATGCCCATAATCTTAGTGCAAACTCTTTTGTTCACCTTTTGTTCATTTAATCATTATGAGATTCATTTAATCATTAATCTGAAGTTGAACTCTAATTGTTCAAGTACAATTTAAATATGAATTTTATACTCTTTATTTGGAGTGATATGTGAATTTTATTGAATTTTAAAATTTTTTAACATTTAATATACGAATAAATAAAATGAATATTAATTTATATGCATAAAATTTTATCTAAATTATAAAATTGAGCAAGAGCCTAATCATCACATCGTGGAGACTCCTCTGTGGGGCATGAACGACAACGTTTTCAGTGGGAAATGTAATTCCAACATCTAGCGTAGCGCTAAACCCCTGGTAGCAGAGAAAAAAATTTGACAGCAAACGATCGTAAACCCCTTGATTCGAGAGTTTGGAGTAATCCTTGAGTGATCCAAATGAGAGGAAGCATTGGTAGATCCTTGTCTAATACTAACAATCACTACCTCACATCTATTACCAGAGGTACCTCTTTTCTCCTCCAATCCTCCTTCTCCACTTCCTCCAGCTCTGGCAGCGGCCGTGGCCGTGGGGGCCCCTCACCCTCTGGTTCTATCATCGATTTCACTCCGCCACCGGGAAAATCAGGCCCAGAGGACTCAAACCGCGACTCTGCTGAATCACCTCCAGCCGGATTAGGCCACGGCCGTGGAAGAGGAAGACCTTTATCCTCCGACCCCATTCCCCACCCTTTCTCCTCTTTTGTTTCTCAAACTGGGTCTGGTCGAGGCCGAGTCACCAGCGAGTCAGTGCCACCGCCACCCCCGCCTCCAGTGCAATCAAAGCAGCCCATATTCATCAAGAAAAAAGATGAAGATGAAACTGAGACCTCCGCCAAGGCAGCAGCCGAGTCGATTCAGTCGAGTGAGCCCATCTTCCCTCCTAACTTACTCCCTGACTCAGTTTTATCCGGC